AATAATATGATTAAAATACCCGATAGCGGAGATTCTTAAAACCACTTATATTTGCTATTTTTGATATTGTTATCTTAATTGATGGTATATATAATCGGATTCCTAAAGATTCAATTGTGAAAATACTTGAGCATTCCTCTTTTTTCGGTTTTCCCAAATCAAAAGGAATTAGAATTTATCCGATATGAAAGGAAAACATGTATGAAAAAAATTCAAATAAAATTTTAGGGGGGAAAAAGATTTGAGCGGCAAAATGAAAATATTTTTTAAACATTTTTTCTTCTCTCTATTATATAGTAATAGATAAGACTCTCCCCACCAGTAAAAAAACCACTCCGAAACTCCTCGCGCGAACCAACACCTGAAGACACCCAAGGAGGCAGAAGCTCGACTTAAGAGATGGATTTAAAAACTTCATTCAAACGACGACTAACTACATCTGGCCTAAACGAACCAACTCATTCCTCTGTGGAGAGGCGCGCACAGATCGACATAAACGACGGTTACGAAAAGGGGAATTTTGCTACAGTGTAATTTAGAGAGAAAGGGGCTTTCCCCTGCTTACCAAATTGCATCCATACATACAAAATGAAAATTAAATCTGTCATACACAAAATAAAATTAAGATTTAATTGTAATAAAAAAAAAAAAAAATTCTACTTTTACATTTTGACAATTTAATCCGTACTTTTGCATTATTGCGAACATATCCTGACCTTGTCCCAGTTTGGCAAAATGACTCCAATGTTGGCAAAAAGAATTAAGTTGTATATATATGTACCAAAAAATGAAGTGTAGCATTTGCGCCAACAAATCTTATGTTGTGAAGATGGTAATTTTTTCAATATTAATTTCTTACGAAATATTTTACTCTTATTACTTTTATTTAATTTAATTGATTTATTTTAAATTTGCATGCCCCTGTTTCCTCTTCAAGAATCCCATGGGGGGCTACTTTATGATCAAACTGACATCACTAATTTCTCGTTCCTCAAAAGGTCATATCTAAAGTGGGACACAATTCACATCTTATTTGTTTCTTTTCAAACTTGGCCAATATGACAATTCCTAAGATAATCACAAACTATTTTAATAAGTTATCTTCTTAGGTATTATCACTAACTAATTGCTGATCTCAAACTGAACCTCCTATTAATATAGTGATACAACCATCATTTATTATGAGGACCATTCCTTAATCCTTTCTTTCTCTTCTTTTTCCTTGTGACCACCAATCTTGATTAACATTTATGCCTTGATTAGGAGTTCCCTCTTTCTCCTCTTTTCACTAGTTTTTAACTTTATTTATTTATCGTGCTTTTCTTAGTCATCGATCATCACATTTTTATGATCAAATCTCCACATTTTTAGGCTAATTTTGATTATGCAATCTAAACAACTTGCTAATGATGGCTTTTTCTTGTAATTAGTGCCTAGTTCATGTTGATCAATGGCACTTGTTGCCTAGCACATGTAAATGAGTTGAAATTACTCCATATCAAAATGGGTTGGTGCATCCATTTATAATGTCCATAATAATAACTCAGTGCCAGATGGCTGCTTGATTCATGTATTGTACATGGCAATTTCATTTTTCAAATGTTATTGCACGATATAGTATAGTGGCATTAGGCCACGTTTTGTCAAGATGATGATGAAAGTTGCTTTGATTACATGCTAGGGGTATTGAACATATGAGAACATGTTTTACTTAAATGAAATTATTATAATTGCCGTTAATTAGTCGCCATTAAGCTAGTTAAACCGCATACGTGATCTGTACACTTTTTCTTTATTGTTTTTTTTTTTATATATATTTATAATTTCAAATCGAATTTAGTTGAATTCAATTTTTACAAATTTTGTGGTTCATAGTTTTACTCATTTTTATATTTCCGTGATGTTATCTGCTTTGTGTACTTTTGCAACTTATTATATTTTAAATTGTAGCAAATACAATATAATATATGTTAGGGTGCATTGTAAAAGCTAACTTTTAGTTTCTAACAATATCATTTTAAATGATAATTCATGTTTTAGTCAAGTGTATTTTTACGGTTAATTTATTTATGCAAATATTGTTCGTTTATTTTAATTTGTAAATAATATGGTTCGGGGTGTGAAACAGTAAGATCATATTATCGGTGCCTTGTAAAATATAAATTATGATTCACAATCTAGACGAGAATTGAACTCTCTGGTCGTGAAAAACTGTAGTGTGAATCTTGGAATTTGCTGCGTATTCTTAACCAGTAAGATAATGTACAAACATATGTAGTCAATTAAATAATCTAGACCTCAACATTATTTGCTGAGTATTCTTAATCCGTAAAACAATGTACGGACATATGTAGTCAAAACTTATTTATTTGATTTATCAAGGATGTGACTTATTCTGGTAGGTCGACATACTTAATATTTTGGTAAGTAATATCGGCTGCATGATGTACCATCAATATTGTTTACGGTCACCGTATCCCGAGAAAGTCCGAGTTGATGACGTCCCCAAAGTGAGCTTAAGAAGGATCGTTATGTCAAAGTCCTGCAGACGGATTGAGTTCCAATATAATGATAAGGAATTGAGTGGTACTAGCTAATGACATAGAAGTTGATTAATTAAATTATCAGTAATTAAATTAATCAACGGACGTTGTATCTTAAATACCGGGATATAAATCAAGCAATAATAGGGAAACGAATTAATTATAATTCAAAGTTAAATTGAGAGTGCAATAATATTTCTCTAATAGAATGATTTATTATTCGAGTACTGAGCGGAGTGGACTCGACCCACAGTTGGTCTTGAAATTGTGGGAGGATAACTATAAATGCGCTAAATAAGTGAAACAACAAAGTTAGATGTAAGTTCACACAATTGCGGAAGCAAGGTTCTACAAAAATTGAACCTTCAGGGAGCATCCCACTCCCTCTCCGGAACTCTTTCATATACGTGAATGTTTCTCCCATTACAAATTGGACTTACACTGAAGACTCCCTCTTCACTAACTACTTTTATGACCATAACTCCTTTGTGGTTTTTCACAACTTAAATCCCTTGAGTTTTATCTATATATTCCTCCCGAATACTTATACAAAGGTTTCAAATAACTAAACACCTAGAGATCGAGAACAGACTCTCGATTCTCATCACATAAAATAAATAAAAAACAAGTACTCTAGAAGTGAATTCTCTCAAGTCTGTTTTCTCCTTTTACTTCTCGGCTCCCTTTTCTTCAAAAATTAACTCACATCTAAAACACTATTTCCAAGCGTGTATAGAAACTTTTTATATTTCTGCAAAAAATGGTAAGTCTTCTTGATTGTGTCAATCTCACGAATGCCGCAATCAAGCTTCTCCAGGTACCTTTTCTCTCTCGCAAGTCTTCTTCATAGATGGTAAGTTCTGCTGCCATATATCAGGAAGTTCTTCAACACGTTCGCTTTCCATGCATGGTGAGTATGATACTTCCTTTTGATCACACACAATTGCTCCGAGCGACTTCAGTACTCTTGTTAAGATATGTTTGGCAGTCAAATAAGCTAGCTTATAAGCTTCCTGTATTTAAATAAACCCAGTTTGATAGGACAGGCTTTTTTAAAAAGCTCGAGCTTACTTCATAAGCTACATTAGATAGGTTTTCAAATAAGCTAGTTGAATTTTTTAATTCAGCTAGCTTATCATCTAATTTTACCAAACACTTTTATCATATAAGGTAACTTTTCAGCTATAAGTCATAAGCTATAAGCTATAAGCTTGAAAATTACATTTAAGCTATAAGCTGACTTATCAGCTAGTTTTACCAAACATAGCCTTAATAAAATAAAATAATAAGTCCAAGATAAAATAATTCTAAGAAAATAATATAAGCAACATTTCCTTTATTTTTGGACAACACAATTCCAGAGACTGATGAAGGTTCGTTCCAGGATTGTCGATTTAATGCCAATCCTCAGAATCTTACAGGGCTCATGCTTGGGAAGCCCATATTTAACGCCTCCCTAGGGTCTCTATTGTAGCCCTGTAAATACATCAAATCTCAAGCCTCCAAATACAAGAGAGAGATCATAATAAGCCACACATTTTTTTCTTCTTCCTAATCGAGAAAACCGATTGGCCCTTTTTATGTTCTTGAGAGTTTGTGAGTTTTGAGAGCTTCGTTCAATCGCTCCACCAAGATTGTTTGAAATGTGTTTGGGTAATACTGTAAAAGATTTTTGGATCTTTTATTCATATCCTCGTAAAGTTTCTGTAACTCACGAGGTTGTCCAATCTTAGTAGGCACGATGGCAGCCCTCGAGCTAATTTAAGTCAGGTACTGAGTTGTTTCTTGGGTAATTTGAAAAAAATCCTTTATGTCAAGGTAAATGAGTTGTTGATCTATTCTTTTATCATTTTTATCTTTTAATATTCGAGATTTTTTTTAAATAAAATAAAAAGTATATCTGAAATATACATGTATTCACACATTTGCATATGTGTTTGATAATTTTTCTATCACGTTAATTTACCGATTTCTTTTGGTGAGTTAAAAACGAATATAGTAATCCACAAGATTTTGGGTGATAATTTGAAGGAACAATATGCCACAAGAAAATGATGCTCAAATAGAAAATGCGACATAAAATAATTTAATTGATATTTTAATATTATAAATATTGTTGGAATACTTCCCACGTATAGAAAAATTAAAATGGGCCGTTGAATTAAATTTTGTGTTGAAATTTCTATTGATAAATTTTAATAATTATAATTGCACTATTCAACAGTCATAAAGAAAAAAATGTCATATACGAACGGAATATCCTGCTGTAATATATTGTAATGGAAATTCCAACGGTCCATTCCAATAGTATAGTTTCCGTTGGAATGATTCCAATGAAACTTCCAACGAAATTATTCCGTAGGAATGAGTTTTTAACTGAAATGTAGCAAAACCATAAAACTCAGGAAGATGAAGATAAAAGCTACTATATCATTTTCATAGCTCGATTTTCAGAGATTACATCATACTGCTACTCCACATTGCTTTTTCTAGTCTAAACCCTAATATAGAATTAACAATACAACTCATCAAGGGAATATGCCATTCAATTCTTATCCACAAAGGGGAATAATACAAGGTAAATTGTGTCTCCATGACATCACCAAGGGTAAAACCTTGCACGACAATATTCCCACGTCCTTTGTACCTGCATGGCCCCACAGGTTGTTATGCTTAGGACTAAGCTTGCTTAGATGATGATTAGATTTAGTATTTCCAATATCCTCCCTCAATTCAAGTGCTCTTCTTGGTAATATCATCAGCTTGTTCCTTAAGAGCATGAAGAATTGTCCTGTAAGTGGCTTTGTAAAAGTGTCTGCAATTTGATCAATGCTAGGGACATGTTGCACTGTGATTTGCTTCTGAAGAACTTTATCCCTTACAAAATGAAGATTCGACTTAATGTGCTTGGTTCTAGAGTGGGAAACAGGATTGGCCACAAGTGACACAACTCTTTGGTTATCAACCCAAATTGTTGGAATTCTATCCATCTTGAATCCCAATTCATGATTAAAGATTGAATCCAGCTTACTTCACAAGTGCCATTGGCTAAACTCCTGTATTCTGCCTCTGTGTTGGACTTTGAAACAATAGGTTGCTTCTTTGAGCTCCATGACACTAAGTTGTTGCCAAGATAAACACAATAACCACTAACAGATTTCCTGTCATCTAAGACTGAGACCCAATCTGCATCAGCAAAAGCATTTATGTTGAGCTTAGAACTTCTTGTGAAGTGCAAACCATAATTTTTGGTCCCTGACAAGTATCTAAGAATCCTCTTCACTGCCTTCCAATGCTCATCTAGAGGACTTTGCATGTATTGGCTTACTTTGTTAACAGCAAAGCAAATGTCTGGCCTTCTTATGGTGGTATATTGGAGTGCTCCAACAATGCTTCTGTAGAGTTTCCCATCCACAAATGGTTGTCCTTTGAATTTTGAGAGATGATTACCAGAAACCATGGGATTATTCAAGCCTTTTGCATTTTCCATGTTAACTCTTCTCAAGATATCTTCAATGTAAGATTCTTGATTAAGGAACATCCCTTCTGAGGTTTGAGCAAAATGGATACCCAAGAAATAGTTTAAGGGCCCAAGGTCTTTTAAAGAGAAGTGATGATGCAGATTGTTGATTAATGACTCAATCTCTGACTTGTTGGAACCAGTGACAATAATATCATCAAAATAGGTTAACACAAAGATAGTAGAAGTGGAATAATGACTCAATCTCTGAATTGTTGGAACCAATGACAATAATATCATCAAAATAGGTTAACACAAAGATAGTAGAAGTGGAACAATGCTTGATGTAAAGAGAAGTATCAACTTTAGAGCTTTGAAAACCCAATGAAGTGATAACTGAGGAAAATTTTGAATTCCAGGCTCTTGAGGCTTGCTTAAGTCCATATAAGGACTTGTGTAATTTGCAAACCATACCTCCCCCTTGCTCAAACCCAGGAGGCTGTTCCACATCACCATTGAGGAAGGCATTATCAACATCAAGCTGTCTGATGCACCAGTTTTGAGACAAAGCAAGGGTAAGAATAATCCTGATTGTAACTGGTTTGATGACTGGGCTAAAGGTGTCAGTGTAATCAAAACCTGGAATTTGTGTGAAGCCTTTAGCCACTAACCTGGCTTTGTGTTTGGCTATAGACCCATCAGCATGCCTTTTTACTTTAAACACCCATTTGCATCCTATGACTGTTTTATCATGGGGTAAAGAGGTGAGAGACCAAGTATTGTTGTTGAGAAGTGCTTGATACTCTCTGATCATTGCATCTTTCCATGTAGGATGAGTGAGAGCATCTTCATAAGTTTCAGGTTCTTTGTCAAAAGTAGCAGTCCAAACTTTGGATTTGAAAATCCCAGCTTTTGACCTGGTGATCATAGGATGTAATGAATGAGATGTGGAGGTCTGAGTAGCATCAGAAGGATCTGCACCTGCATACTCATCATTAGAAGGTAAGATGGCATCATTTGTATCATTTCAATAGGCAACTCTATGTAAAGTTGTCCTTCAGAAACAGGTTGAGGAGGTGATGATTGAGTGGATGAATGAGGAAATGGTGAAGGTGAAAGTGAAGGTGAGACTGGGTTTGTATGAGAGGATGATTAAACATGTGAGTCTGTTGGGTGAGTAGATGATAAGGTTGGAACATGCAAAGGTGGAAAGTTGTGAAGTGGAGGATGATCATTTTGAAAATTATGAGGGGGAACTTTATCCATGAATGTAAACATAGTCTCATAAAAAACAATGTCCCTGGTTATGATAATCTTCTTTTTAGGCAGCAACACCTTGTACCCTTTGTACTTAGGACTATATCCAAGAAATACTCCTTTGTCTGACTTGAAGTCAAGCTTATGTCTTCCATATGGCCGCAGGTGAAGATAGCAAAGTCATCCAATGGTTTTTAGGGATTTGTAGTCTGGTTTCTTATGGTAAAGAATTTCATATGATGTCTGACAATTGAGAACTTTGGTTGGAGTCTTATTTATAATGTAAGTGGCAGTGATGAAGGCATCATCCCAAAAACTTTGAGGAACAAATGACTTTGCTAATAATGACAACCCAACTTCCACTATGTGCTTATGTTTCCTTTTAGCCAATCCATTTTGAGCTGGGGTGTAAGAACAAGAAATCCTATGCAATATACCATTTTCAGAGAAGAAATTGCTTAAAACTTTATACTCAGTGCCTCCATCAGTTTATATGGCCTTTATTCTTTTTCTAAATTGATTTTCAACAAGAGATTTGAAATGCTGAAAAACATTTGAAACTTCAGACTTTTGTTTTTAGCAAATAGATCCATGTATACCTACTAGCATGATCAATGAAAGAGACATAGTATTTATGACCATGACTGAGGTAATAGGGCTGGTCCCCATAAATCAGAGTGCACAATTTCAAGAACATCACAAGTTTTTATTTCAGCATCTGAAAAAGGAAGCCTGTGGCTTTTGGATTTCATACAAGCTTTACATATAAGATTCTGAACAAGAACAGTGTAGGCAATGTTACTACCATTTAGAGCCTTTCCAACAATATCAAATGAAGCATTACCTAGTCTATCATGCCAAACACCAAGATCAATCCTATGCTCAGTTGAATTCACTCATACTGCCTTTTTAATTCCAATAGAAGAAGTGATGTTGTCTGAGATGTCTTGACATCTGGATAGCTTGAGATTGTATAGACCATCTTCAACCTTCCCTCTGAGAATGGTTTGTCCTGAGGGTAGGTCCTTCACAACACAATGATTTGGATACAATTCAAAAAAGACTTTGTTATCTCTTGCAAACTGTGAAACACTGATGAGGTTTTTCTTAACGGGATGAATCTGAAGGACTAACAATAGAATTACCATAATGAGAGATTAACAAACCTGTGCCATTACCCATATGGACTCTTTCTGTGCCTTGGTATTCTGAATCCAGGTTTAGATTGTTGAAATCATAGATAATGTGGTTGTTGGCTCCTGAATCAGGGTACCAAGATGTTTCTGAGGTGATGTCATTGCTAGATCGTGCAATGCTTGGAGTTGAGGTTTGGTTTACAACCATCATGTTGGTGTTCATTTGACTTTGGCCAGGATGATTGTTGTTGTTGGAAGGTGTGCAGCTTAAGTCCCCTGTAGAACCACCTTTCTGCAGTATGGTTATTTCTGTGGCAAATTTGACATCTTGGTCCTCTATTTGATCTTCCTCTACCTCTGCCATAACCCCTGAAGTTTGACTTGCCTCCTCTTCCAGAATTGGACATGAAATCTGCTCCTCTTCCTCTGTTGTTAAAAGGATTTCCTTTCTGGTTTGGCCCTTGAGTAGATAAATTTGCAGTGGGTGTTGACCCTCCATTGTTGACTTGCACTTGTTCTAGCCTCTCAGGCCTGGCTTCAAAGGTAAGCAACAAAGATGTCACTTCTGGTATGCTCATGGGATCAAGCCTAGATGAAATGGTCACAACAATGGGGTTGTATTCAGGTCCTAAGCCAGCCATGATATAAAGGAGTTGATCTTCTTGAGAGATAGCACATCCTGCTGCAGCTAGTGAATCACAGGTGCCTTTGAGCTTGACTAGGTAATCTCTCATGGACTGTGCTCCTTTCTTGCTAGTTTGGAGCTGCTCTTTCAGTTGAAGGATCTTTGCTCTGGATTGACTGGAGAAATTAACCTGTATGGCATTCCAAATCTCATGAGTTGTGTTGAATCCTACAACGGTGATCAGGATCCCTTCTGTCAAGGATGAATAAGAGCCATGAGACCAAGAGTTGGTCTTGCTTAGTCCAAGTGAAGTAGTCTGGATCTAGACCTCCATCTTGTGTGATTGAGCTAGCTGGTGGCTTCTTCTCACCTGTGAGGTAACCTTCAAGACCATATCCTCTCACAGCTGCAAGGATTTGGTGCCTCCATATGAGATAGTTTCCTTCATTAAGCTTGATGGTAATTAGCTGACTTAAGGGCTGAAGAATTTGGTTTGGATTTGAGGATATTTCAGATGTGGTGCTCATGGTGAATCAAAGAAAATGAAATTTGAACTGAAAAATGGTAAGAAGCTCTTTAGATCAGGCCCCAGGGTTTAACCCTGGGCTCTGATACCATAACAAAAATGCAGCAAAACCATAAAACTCATGAAGATGAAGATAAAAGCTGCTATATCATTTTCATAGCTCGATTTTCAGAGATTACATCATACTGCTACTCCACATTACTTTTTATAGTCTAAACCCTAAGAAAGATCTAGAATTGACAATACAACTCATCAAGAGAATATGCCATTCAATTTTTATCCACAAAGGGGAATAGTACAAGGTAAATTGTGTCTCCATGACATCACCAAGGGTGAAACCTTGCATGGGAATATTCCCACGTCTTTTGTACCTGCATGGCCCCACAGGTTGTTATGCTTAGGACTAAGCTTGCTTAGATGATGATTAGCTTAAGTATTTCCAATAGTTTTCCATTAATTTAAATGCAATTTGTTCATTCCAACGGTTTTTTACCCTTAGAATATACAATTTCCGTTGACGTTTTTATTTTTACCATATTTCAACCGTTGAAAAATATACCATTGAAATCTTCAAAATCTAACGAAAATTTCCATGGAAAACTCATTCCAACGAATTATTTTTGTTGGAATTTTTGTTGAAATCCAATAGAAATTTTCAACGGAAATAACAGTATTAGAATATCCATTGGAATTGCCGTTGGGATTCCACTGGAATATATTTCAATTGAAAATTTTCATTGAAAATTTGAAATATCATCATATTCTTGTAGTGAGTATATTGTAATTTTTTTTTATGAAATTTGTATTTTTTTAAAATTATTTATTTTGTAAGTAATTCTAGCTATTTATAAACAAAATATTATCATTATAAGTCAACGGAAATTCCAAGAATATTCTTTTTCTCCTCGTTTAATTTCATTGTCATTTTTATAGAGAGATAAAACATACTTAGTATGTCCCTATAATTAGTATTTAATAAAATACTTCCAAATTTTCCTTTTAAATATTATCAAGTGACAATAGTCTTATCACCTCATCCAAAATGTAATTCTTCATCATGTTACAGATACTTAAATCAAATAATTATAAGAAAAATAATATTAAAAGAAAAAAAAACCCATGAGAGTATTCGTCAATATCACGACATCACATAATATGATAATATCATGATCAAATATCCCTTTATTCATTCATAAAGTCATTTGTGTATGAATGTTGTAGGTTATATTGTTAAATTGACATAAGATAATTAAGGGATTAATTAACCCATATGTCAGTAGTACACTTTCCAACAACATGACTTATTTTATTTCTTACAATTGCGGATGACTTAAAATATGACTATAGATGGGAATCCCACCTCAAAATCATTGACCAAAAAAGCGACTTATCAATTAACTGACCAATCTATATCTATATCTATATCTATATATATAAAGAGGTTATTAGAAAAATATATTAATAGAAATTTTGATCAAATAAATATAATGTTTGACTTACTATTAATGGAAAGTTCAAAAAACTACATGTGAATCTTTAGTAACAAAATCTAAATCCTATTTTTTTGGTAACTAAATTGGAGATTCTTATGGCAAAATTTAAATTCTATTTTTTTCGTATCATATTTTATTTTTTTTACCAAAATTTAAATCATATATTTTTTGGTAACAAATTTGGAGATTCTTATGCAAAAAATGTGTCAATTATTTATGAAAACAGTTCTAAATACATATTAACTTAAAAACCATACAAATCGGATACAAATTTTTGAAAACAAATAGTTGTATAATTCTTAACCAATTATTCTAATCTTATTGAATAATTTTTTCTTTGAAAAAAAAAAGTGTGTAAATTGGATAAAACCACGTGCAATTTTTATTTTAGAATAAAACTGATATTTGAAGGGGATGTACATTCAAAATTGTGTCCACATTTTCTGGTAACAAAAGCGGTTCATCTTTGATATATAAAAATTAAAAAAATTTTAAAATATCCTTAAATATTTATGAGATCAAGATTTGTTAGGTCTTTTTAAGATTAGTTATGATTTAAAAGAAAAAAAAATATTATACAAAATTTCACTCTAAATCTCACATTTACACTTAAGATTTCATAGTATTCCTCTAAAATTTGATCATCTTAAAAGTCTCAAATCTTAAAAAATCTCAAAGTGGCACTCAAAATTCTAAACGAATACATATTATATACCTATATCGTCAATTTATAATTATTATCTAATATTATTTATCCGTGCATCGCACGACTCACATACTAATTATAAAAAGACTAATGTTGTCACGTGGGTGATGGAAAAGGAATCACAGAATCTTTATTTTTTTAATGGTCTTTTAAAGTACATGTAATTATCGTTTCGGGTTGTTCTGATTGGACTTGTGTTACACTATTCAATTAATATAGTATTATCTTAGTAGTATATAATAATATCACTATTTTAGAAAATTGAGCATGATAGAATTAAATATAGCGAAAATAAAAATTTCACCAGAAGATGACTTAGAATTTTGGATATCAGATATGGTTTCCGATCATGTCAGCATTAATTTATGTGTTGATTGGTTTTCAAATAGTCGTAATATAAAATTAAGTTATCTAGAATTTACTAATTTTTCACGCCTTAAGATTTTGATATCTTCACTATTTCAAAAAATGATACGTTTAAATTAAAATATAATAAATTTCCCCCTTTTTCGTAATATTATTTAATCAACGATATAAATTTTCTTAATGAAGTCATTAGATCGTATGATCCAACAGCTAACAAAAGTTAAAATCTTACACTCATTAAATATAATTTGAACATTACCACTATACATCCAACCAACCCACTGATCAGTGGGTCCCGCACCACATCACTACCCACACAACACAACACACGCGCACACACACAACATACGCACCCACACACACAACACGCGCGCACACACACACACACACATCTGTACACACACAACATATACGTAATCTTTAGAGATTCGTCGTTGGGCCATCGACAGTCCCGCCAATGCCATCTTTCGCCACCAGTCCAGACGCCGTCGCCGTCCTCCATCACATCTCTCCCACAGTCGCGGGATGAGAACGATGACGTCAAAAATCGTCGTCCGCGACCTCAGTCGTTTCTTCTTCCAAGAAGGGACATTCTCCGGCATCGCCACCGCTAAGGCTATAAACGAGTTGAGCTGAGCTCGAGCTCGGGCTCGTTAAGGCCTCGAGCTCGAGCCTTAACGAGACGATCTCGAGCTTTAACCAGCCGAACTATAAAAATTTATTTAAAAATTCTCCTTTCGAGCCTTAATTTAATAGCACTAGCCACCGCTCAGCTTGCGACCATCTCCGTCGGCGACAAGCTCCCCACGATCGCGTTGTGCTATTGCGACATGCCTGCGAGTTGAAACCGTCTCGGTCTCCGACCACAACTCCAGAAAAAAGGTCATCGTCCTCACCATCCCTCGATGCATTCACCTCCCAGGGTTCGTGGAGAAGGACGAATATTCATCACAAAAGAACCTTCTAGGGATCGTGGAGAACGCCGCCAAGTTTAAGGAGAAGGGGATCAACGTTGTTGCCTCCGATCTCAGCTGCAACATGTCCGGTGGGGCGCCGCCTCTCGGCGGGTGCACGAGACGGCGAATTGAGTCCTGATCGCAAGGGGATGGTCGAGGTGGAGCCTGACGGGGAAGAACAGGTGGGTTAAGGGCTTCACTTAAAAAATTAGATAAATCCTAAGGACTTATGTGCAATATCAATATTTTTAACTAAATTGCAATTTAGTCCATGTGACAAATATGTAATTTATAAAGAATATATAAAAAATAACTTTTTTTTTATATATTATATACATATATATTACGTATTTTCAACAAAAAATAATCTATAGTATAATAAAAAATATTTAAATACTAAATATAATTTTTATATTATAAATAATAAAACAGTTCGAATATTTAAGTTAATTTTATCAACCTCTAGAAAAACTCAATTGTTTCGGTTCGGATTGAATTTGAATTTGCATGTAAAAAACACACACTGCAAAATGCACAATAATATTAAACAAGATCAGTAATATTAAACAAGATGCACTTTAGTAACAAGATGCACTTTAGTAACTGTCATATTGCACAATAGTGTTAGACCAAATGCACAGTAGCGACCAAAACCTACCGAACTAAATTTCTTTGTTCCAAATTTTATATTCCGCTTGATTATCTTTTCTTATATTTTTAAATATCTAATATTTCAGTTTGATAACGGTTTATTTTATAAAACAACCATAATAACCAAACAGGTCGAACTATATAAATAATATTATTGTTTTAATTTTAAATTTTTATTTAAAAATATTATTTACTTTTAGCCAAAAAAAAAGAAAATATTAAATACTATGCAAAAATATTAAAATAACAATTATAGTTTAATTAATTATAAATTTGACTCATAAACTAAATTATAATATATTGAAATTTATAAAGTTGTAATCGTGTCCCTACGACTCCTCATAAATTTATAAATCTGACTTATAAACCAAAAATAGCCCCCTATTTCTCCTCCACGTCCAACTTCTTTATTATCGACCCAGGGCAGTGCCGATCTGTATCGGGCGACCTAGGCTCATCAAGCTTTTATTAAGGTCGGGCAGGAGCCACGAGGCCGCCTTGGAGGCCTCCTCGCCATCGCTGCATGCAGATGAGTAGGTGGGGGCGCCTGCGCCGTAGGTGACTTCAATGGGTACCAGCTCGTGGCGGCAGGCGAAGGGGATGGCGGAGTGGACGTCGTCGTCAAAGGCGCGGCGGAGTCAGCCCAGCAGGTGATGGCAGCAGAGTCTGTTCGCAGACCTTGCATACCGGGACTCGTTGTGGCTGGCGGCGGCAGCGGCTGGGTCCACGACGTCGCAGTGCTAGCAGAAGAATGTGGAGTTAGAGCGGCTACCAGCATTGCCTTGCTGGAGTTGCACTATCAGGTCGTGGATCTCCAGTACGTGTGTGTGATGTGAATGTGTGTTATGTGCAATGTGTGTGTGTGAAGTGTGTGTGGGTTTTTGTGTGTGAGAAAGAGTGGAGGTTTTGGTGGGGTTGTGATGGGCCCACGTGTGGATAGACTGGATGAGTGTCAGTGTAAATTACACCACTACGTACCCTCAAGAGTATACTCACTACAAGAATATGATGAAATTTCAATGAAAAATTCCAACGAAAATATATTCCAATAGAATTCATTCAGAAATTCTAATGGATATTCCAATGCTATTATTTACGTTGAAATTTTTCAGTAGATTCCAACGAAAATTCCAACAAAAATATTCCGTTTGACTGAGTTTTCCATTGGATTTTTCGTTTGGATTTTGACGATTCCAACAGTACATTTTTCAACGGTTGAAATATGGGTGAAAATAAAAATTTCAACGAAAATCGTATATTCCAAAGGAAATTTCTACGGTAAAAAATCGTTGAAATAATAGCCGTTGAAATGATAAAATTTCATCTAAATTCTAATGAAAAAATCATTCCAACGGAACAATTCCATTGGAATTTTCGTTGGAATTATTCTAGCGGAATCTATACCATTAGAATATCCATTGGAATTTCCATTAGAATATATTACCGTAGAAATTTTCGTTGGAATATGACACTTTTTTTGTAGTGACTCTTGACCAATATGTGACCAGATAATTACAAAATTGCCACCGCGAATTTGACTTTAATTACTAGCCTTTGACTTCGTCTTGACCATTCATATGATGAATCTAATGTTACAAATTTATTCTCATTTCTTTCACTATATCTCTTTTTCATATGAATATTCTACCCCTCTCTCTATATATATAGACACACACGTGATCCGTATTAAAAGTTAGCAATTAAGTTCATCATACATGCATAATATCTGATGTTCCTAACAAGAAAAAATGGTATACAAAAATATCAATTATAAATTTTAACTAATTTTCATTATTGATCTGCAAATTAAATAATTTGATGGGAGATAATTTGAAAATAAATATTTTTTCAAGTAAACTTTGACTGCAGCTTGGTTTTCTTCTACCGACGTGGACGACGACCCAGATTTTCGGGTCAACCCATGGGGATACAAATACAATCTGCTGTTAGGTGAATTCTTGGTAGATTTTTAAGTTAATTGTTTAGTTTAAATTATTGGCCAAAGATTGATGAAACATTGCTTAGATGACACAATTATGTTACTAGATATTAGATAATATCTAAATACCCAACTACACACCATTTGAAGCTAACTAAAATCTACAAGTTACTTCAGCATGTAGACTTGGATTAATGGATTTTAGATGACTAAAATCTAAATGTTACTTCAACATATGGACTTTGGATTAATGAAGTATAGATGTTATGTATACTCAACAAGGGATAAATTCTCATATTTTTATCTGATGGAGTATATTTAAAGTGAGATATGATTTCTTTCTTTATTGTGGGTGCCAAGAAGAAGAATTTTTTTTTTAACTTTATTCATTTTCATTCTCATTCTCAACACCTTCATGATAAACACAAATTCTATAGAGGAACGGATCACTTTTACGATTATGCAGGTCGAATTGTCATATTACTTAAAAAAAATTTCATGTGAAATGTTATACTTTTGTTAAATATTTTTTTAAACGTATGTTATTCGGGTAGAAATTTTATTTTTTAGCCATTAAAACGGCCTAATACAAGTCCTAACCCAACATAAATTACACAGCCTCGAGCCAAATCCACCTTATTGAGAATAGAGGGAATGAAAAATCGAATTCATCGGAGATAGGAAACTGTCTAATTGTCCAATTAGTATTATGTTATTGAGTTCATTCCAAATGAAAATATTACAATGCAACTAATGCCAAAAAAAATACAACACACACACACACTCAAAAAGGACACGATTACAAGTAAGATTCAAAGTGTGACAACAAAAATGAAATAAAAAGGTGAAGATGGTCATGTAATCAAATCACCAAATAAAAATGAACAAAATATAAATGTAACACGAAAATGTAGAAAAAATAAAATAAAAAAATGAATGGACCCTATTGGAGCCATTATTTCTTTTCCTAATTAATTGTTACCTAATATCTAATTTTGATGAATTTTCTCAGCCTTAAATGAGAAAAGTTTTAGAAATCACCATATCAATGCAAAAGGGAAACGAAAATTAGTCAAATGTCCACGCTTCAAAGAATATATCAGCCCTTTGGTTAGCAAAGACATGGAAAAATTGGAACGTACTGATTTATTGGTACTAAGTCAAATCATGAGCTCGAAAAAATTGTGTTCCAACATAGCAAATTCAAGTTATATCAATAATTTAATAAAATTAAATTAGTCAACATCTTTGAAGACTTCCAAAAAAATTTACAAATTGAACAACTGAGCAAATTTAAGTGAGATGTACATACAATTTAGTTAAAGTGAATAAGTCGATACATTTGGAGAGTTCTAAGGAAAGTGGTCAAATTCAAGTGATATTTACAAATCTAATTAATGTAAATTAGTCAGCGCCTTTGGACAGTTCTAAGAAAGTTTACTAATTGACCAACTTATATAGCTGATCATCCATTATAATTTAATAGGAATATATAATTAGATGGAACTGAGTAAAACATAAATATTTTAATTTATAGATGTTTAGGATTTTACATTAATTAAATTACACCTAAAAATTTGAAAGAGTTCATTCATGGTTGTTCTCAATTTCAAATCAATGTTTGTAAAATCAGCATTACTATTTCTTCTATTGATTGATCTTAAACCTCTTCAAACTAACCTTTTTTTCTTTGTTTGAGTTTCAACTGTGACTCTATACCTACTATTGTTTATTCTTAAACTTCGTTAAATTTACTTTTTTTTTTCTTTAATTTGTTTCGTTCTCTCAAGTCTTTTTCTGTTATAATTCAAATGTTGATTTTTTTTTTTTATATGAACCGAAAAAGAATGATCGATAAGAATTATTTTCAATAATTTAATCTAATTAAGAGTCTTTTTTTAACCAAACCTAAGGATATCTAAGAGTCAAACATCACAAATTAAATAGTCCTATAATATTAGAAATGCTAAGTATTTATTGCATAATAATTCTAATTAAGCTTTCACTATTTATTCATTTATTTTCAACAAATTGACTGCAACAAATATATAACCTGCACATCGAATTTGCGTTTGAAAATGTCACACATTGCTCTGCAGAACAACGGGTAACAAGAGACACGAAAACCATCAAAATTTTTCAATGACTCTGTCAAAAGAATAAACACTAAAAACCAAAATAAAATAAGATTTTAATTAGATCCCACTTGGCAATGCAAGTGGAAATTAAAAGAAATTGTATTATGCAGCAACCAAGTTGCTTTTGTTGACAAGAGAGTCTAAAAATAATAAATTAATTAAATTATTGTTCTCAATTTTATTTTTTTTACAGGACCACACCATGCCCCTGGCATGCCACATAACTTTTCCTATTGGTTGCCAAGTTGTGTCACATAATTCCAACTTTTATTAATTATGGGTATATTTTTCTAATTATTTTTTATACACACGAACAAAATATTAAATGATTAATTATATTATCCCTTCTCTATATA